GCTGATCCTAACATTCAAAACAATGATAACGCGACAGCACTTATCTTAGCTAGTCAAAATGGTCATCAACAAGTGATTGAGTTACTCCTTAACAAAAAGGCTGATCCTAACATTCAAGATAATGATGGCTGGACAGTGCTCATATTGGCTAGTAAAAATGGTCATCAACAACTGGTTGAGTTACTCCTTAATGAAAATGCTGATCCTAATATTCAAAACAATGATGGCTGGACAGCACTCATGTTAGCTAGTGTATTTTGTCATCAACAAGTGGTTAAGTTACTCTTTAATAAAAAGGCTGATCCTAACATTCAAAACAATAATAATGCGACAGCACTTATGTTAGCTCATCAAAGTGGTCATCAACAAGTGGTTGAGTTACTCCTTAATGAAAAGGCTGATCCTAACATTCAAGATAATGATGGCTTGACAGTGCTCATATTAGCTAGTAAAAATGGTCATCAACAAGTGGTTGAGTTACTCCTTAATAAAAATGCTGATCCTAATATTCAGAACAATGATGGTTGCACAGCACTGATATTAGCTAGTCAAAATGGTCATCAACAAGTGGTTGAGTTACTCCTTAACAAAAAGGCTGATCCTAACATTCAAAACAATGATGGTTGCACAGCACTGATATTAGCTAGTCAAAATGGTCATCAACAAGTGATTGAGTTACTCCTTAATAAAAAGGCTAATCCTAACATTCAAAACAATGATGGCATGACAGCACTTATGTTAGCTAGTTTATATGGTCATCAACAAGTGGTTGAGCTACTCCTTAATGAAAAAGCTGATCATAACATTCAAGACAATGCTGGCACAACAGCACTCACGTTAGCTAGTCAAAATGGTCATCAACAAGTGGTTGAGTTACTCCTTAATGAAAAGGCTGATCCTAACATTCAAAACAATAATGGCTGGATGGCAGTCCCAGGATTCATTAAAGAGTTCATCAACAAGTGGTTGAGTTAATAAAGGCAGCAAAACTGAAAAGCTATAATCATTTTGCATTGATAAAAACAGGAATATAAGATTAATCAATGACAATGAACACACCTTCAAACAGAATAAGTCAGAGTTCCATAAAAAGTTTCAGTAGTAAAATTCATATTTAAAAAGAAAGATTATTGTGCATGATGTAATCTAATTGAGTTGTTGTGGTAGATAATATTAATAGTTACTTTTGAAAAAAATCAATACATGTACTTTATTATCATTATAATTGGCATAATTTATCACAATTAATTTCAGTAGCTACGTCTAAAAAGTGTATAATATTTTGCTTTATTATCACATCTTCTACGCACACAGCCAGCATCACTGGATAACTCCTTTGGTTGCTTGAAAGGAATACAAAGAGCTTTAGCTCCCATAGCAGGTGCCCCTGGCTCTATAGCCTCTTCCCTATATGAGGAGCAATCACATAAGATCATGTCACAATCATGCACTGTACCTGGTACTCATTTTTTTAATTTGATCCTCACATGATACCTCACCACAATAAGGGGACATTATTATCTAATAAAAATAATAAGAGTACTTTGAAGAGGTTCAGTTTTAGAACTTTGTATAAACAAAACACACTCATAATAGCAGTCTAGAGTTTCTGACTTAATGGCTATTAGCCATGCATGTTTATAACAAGTACATATAAATGCCATGCACACAAAAATTACCATTTTCTTGTCTAAACTGCTACAGAAGTCATCCCAGTTATCAAGTACTGCAATTTGTTCATCCATTTTAGCCTTAGCCCCTGTAACGTACATTAACTGCAGT